CTTGGAAGGTGAGCCCCCTGAAATGCCCCCCCCCCAATCCCAAACTGCCTCCTGCGCGCCTGCACGCCATGACACCCCAACCTACGAGTTGCCGCCCTTCTGGCTCCAAATAGATATGAATACGTAACTAAAATCTTTTTCCTTTTCATTTTGTATTCATTTCATTTCATTTATTTTCGTTTTCAAACATGAAATCAAACAATATAATCTAATAAAATGTGCAAGACATGGTTGATAATACAAACAAAAAAATGAACTAACTAACAATAAATAAATGTACAAGATGCCTTTTCAAGAACGCAAATTTGTTTCCAATAATGTTCAAGAAATTGCATATTTCGATACATTTTTCTATTACCAAACACCTGAGCAAAACAAGAGAAGGAAAAAAGAGAAGATGTTTGGTAATGCAGAGGCCGAAAGAGAGCCAAAGACGGTAAATTAAAGGCCCCTTGTGGGTAAAAGAACAAACTCATCCGCACACACACAAACACACGCACCCACACACACACGCGCACACACCCACTCCCACACACCCATGCACGCACTCACACGCGCACACACACACATATACCTTCGGAAGACCCGTGGAAGACAGACGTATACCTGAATCAAAGCTTCTGTCATGAAGAATTGAGGGCACAATATAGGAGCCCCCAAACATTTCAAGGACCTGCTGAATCATCAGCAGCTAATAGAACAGCTAGAACACTATAGGAGCACTTGCTGGAAAGGAGAGCAGCTAGAAGCAGCTTGGAAGCAATGCACCATGAGCTTCGAGAGAGAGATAAGGAAAGCTTTGGAGGAGATGCGCAGACGAAGAAACACTTCAGATGACATATACATGTACATGTACTTCCCCCACTCACCATTGATAACTCTGCATGGATGCAGCATATGTTACTCTGTTTCACATGTTTCCAAGACCTTGCTGTCCCAGAAAAAGTGTATCAAGTTTACATTCATGAACATGGAAATGTCTGTATGTTTTTGTATTCATATTATATAGAGAAATATAAATAAAAATTAAACTTCAAAGTAAGAAATGTGACATGTTATCTTACGTCCCTAGGGTAAAAAAGACTCTTAGACGTCTGATAAGCGTTCTATTATCGTTTCGAAGGACACTTCACTTTACACTAATTGATGTATACACTTAGACATGTATTCCATTTGGTCGCAGCGGTAATATCTACGTCACATGTTGCCATGGAATAATAATTGTACATCAATATGTCTTTTATATGCGGTGTATTTTCTAAAAACTGTCAATTATCTGTTCATCTTTTCTAAGGAAACTTTGTGTTTTTCATTTGATGCTACTTTATCATCTATTCCATTAAAAGTTCAATTTATAATAAAAGTATTAATTTTCCTCCACTGAGTTTAACAAAATAATCCTGATAGTCAACATATATCTGTCCATTTATATCCAACATTATTGAATGTCTAACTATAACAGGAAAAAAAAATCTTTTAAGGAAATTCTGGATACGCTTAGTTTATAGTTCAAGATCATTTTCTTTTGGTAGCCAATTCGTTCAGAACTCTTTTGCTCACAAGAAATCCATTATAAACAATATGTATTAGGTTTGGCAAGGAGAAGGATTAAAACGTAGATGTTTCTTTCACCATGCAATAACATGACCAGAACTGGTCTTTATCTTTAAAAAGTCGACAATTTCATTACTTTACATTATTATTTATTTATTTAATTTTCCATAAATAGGGGTTTATTCAGTTTTTGTATCACACAATAAGGTAATCCACTCTTACACAAGACAGGTTTTATGTATTAAAAGAAGATTAATTGTGATTACTTAGCGAAAAGCGTATTTCACAAATATACCCCTGGCATTTCGTGAATAAAGAGGCAAGTCAATCCTTATTCTTATTCTTTTTTTTTAAACCAAATCAAAATGTAACTTTCACCTCTTCAAGCAAAGGACAAAAGGGCAAAATAAAGACACTTTGTTGTGGTATAAATTTATTTCGATATCAAAATACAATAAATAAGGTTATAATCTGGTGCCATCTTGCCCGAATATCACCATACGGGGATGTTTGTTGAACTCGCTGCTTGAAACTATCCCATTTCTATTATTTCGCGAGCGAGCGAAGCTAGCAAGAACCAAAAAAAAACACTTTACTGTCTCTGAAATTGTATTCCTTCATCGAAATACCTAGCGAGATCTTTATATATAATTTCGGCCACTTACATTTTCTAAAATTGACATTTAATTTGTTCTAAAATATTTTTTTGATATGACTGTCTAAAACACACTCGCAGCAGCACGTTGAAAAAATGCTGTACTATTACTACTACTACTAATAATAATAACCTAGACTTATATGGCGCATTTCATCTTCGAAGAAAATAACAATGCGCTTTACGATATTAATACAACAAAATTACACATAACAACTAATTCATGAACTAAAAGATATATATCAAAATAAGGAAAAGATTAATAATAATCAAACATTATAAACATCCATAAAAGAGAAATGAAGGCAAATCATATAAGAGTACAGTAATGTAATTAAATTTTGATTAATACAATAATACAGTTTAAATGACATTAGAAAGCGTTTTTAAACAGGTAGGTTTTCAGTTGAGATTGAAAGAAAGCTAAGTCTGTGATGGTTCGGAAAGCAGTGGGGAGAGAGTTCCAGAGATGCGAAGCTGCATATGAGAATCTTCTGGATCCGTATGACTTGGTCCTGTCTTTCGTGGGTTCAATGAGGTGTTGAGATGCAGAGGGGGCAGATTGACTAGTAGGACGGGAGGGGATTTAACACCCTGCTCCATTAGAGTGGCGGAAGTTTTGTATTTTAAAGTGAAACGGACACACATACATACATACTCTCTCTGTCTCTTTTCCCGCACGCATTCCTTCACTCGTACCTCCATTTCTTTTTCTCCTCTGCCGTACTATACATCAAGGACGCAGATCGGATTCTTCGAAAAGTACTTCTAAATCATTAATGCACCCAATTTAATTGCTATCATGTTGTTCCCGCGTTCATTGATTGACCTATATTACGATCTTTGGAGATCATTTTCGAGCAAACTTTATCATCATATTATCTTGCATTCTTTTCCACGTTTCTTCCTCTCTCCCCTCTTTCTAAATTTTGTGTGTGTGGGGGGGGGGGGCATTCGATTAGGGGCACATGCCCCCTGTGCCCCAAACCGCATGGCTACGCCACTGACCGACTGTGCATTGCTGTTAATAACACACAGTCGCATTTTCATCTTTCCCTTTTTCGATCCTATACTCTCTTTCTCTTTTACATGTGTTTGACTTTTTCTCACAACCCTTCTCTATAATGTTGCTGCATATGTGAAGATTAATGAAAAAGAGAGGAGATCGAGATGGAGAGGAGAAAAAAAGGAGAGTGAGAGATAGCACACGATGTGCATACTACAGGGGTAGTGACCATAAATATAGTACGCTAACATACAGGCCTTTAAAAAAAAAAGACGTGACGGGAAGGATTTAAAGAAGGCAAGACATGATTTGACAATGCACTGATATTAATTTGTATTGTAAGAAAGTATAAGAAACAATTTCAATTTCCTCTTAAATGAAATAAGAGAGAGAGAGAGGGGGGGGGGCAAGTTGAATGTCATTATGAAGAGAGTTCCAAAATTTCTCAGGTCTCTCCCATATCATCTTTAACTTTCTGTCAAATTATAATTAAATCGGTTTGTGTGTTCTGGTTTCTTCGCTTACAATACATGTGAAATTTGATATTCTAGAATTCCAGAAAGATATTATAGAGCACTTTAGGAGTTGCTATGGCAATGGCATTGACATCGTAGTTCTCTCCTTTCATGGATAAATATTTTTTTTTGCAATAAGGATGGCGTACTCTTTACTTGTAAAGAGTGTTATTGAGTAACCGACCCACTACCAAGACTGAATGGGGTCATTCACGATCTCAATTTGCACAGTGAAAAAGGCAAGCCTGGCTTTAATAGGTTCAATTGGCTTTTAATATATTCTCCTATTGAAAATAAGGGAGCGCATTCATTAATTAATTGAATATTTGATGCAAGCTGCAATGAATATTGCTGCTTTTTATTGATATGGGTTGCAGGGGTGCATTAAGGTGTATGTAACAGAATAATAATAATAATATAGCTCACATTTATAATGGCGCCTAATACTTTGTTTCTAGGCGCAGAACATATTATTACCCCGGTCATCGGATTCAGGCTTACCCGCACACAAGGTATGCACATTCTCCACTCCCTGGGGAGCATTCCAGCCAGTCGCCATTTTACAAGCGCCATTTCTAATCAAACCACATTAGCTTTCGCATCCTACCGGGTACCAATTTTAACACCTGGGTGGAGAGTGGCAAATGTAGATCAATGTCTTGCCAAAGGACATTAATGCCGCGGCGGGACTTGAACCGCGGACCTTGTGATCCACAGTCCGGTGACATATCCACTCGACCACGACACCTAATTGCGTCGTGATGTTATAGATCGAAAACATTATTAATTTGGAAGAGTTTCGGTCAGAGCTAGCTTGATCATTCGCTTTAATTATTATTAGCAGATCTATGTGCCTATATGCATTCGTTATCTTCAATGTCTTTCCTTTGAAGATGAAATAAGAAGAGAGAGGGAGGGAAAGAGAGAGAGAGAGAGAGAGGCCGAGAGAGAGAGAGAGAGAGAGAGAGAGAGACTGTGAGAGAGAGAGAGAGAGAGAGAGAGAGAGAGAGAGAGAGAGAGAGAGAGAGAGAGAGAGAGAGAAAGAAAGAAAGAAAGAGAAAGTCTGCAAAATTTCTCAAAAACAGTTAATTCAAAAAAAGGATGAAAACAAAAGGGTCTATGAGTTCGGAACGGAGGACGGTCGACTGGAGAGGGGGACAAGAAAGGAGAGTCGAGAGGTCGAGGGTACGGTTACGTCTATACTATGGAGACTCAACTAATTACACGTTATGAAACGAAGGATTGTTTACGGTGCATGCCGCTGGAGCCGAGCGATTTAATACGCACGTGAATCGAAGACTCTAGCCAAACTCTTAGATCGTCAAAATTAATCAATCACAGTTGTCACACATCATATCAGGTAGAGGCAATAGCAATAATTTGATCTTACTGTTGAAATAGACATGTATCTAACGGTAACATTTCAACAGCAACCGTACGGTAGTTTTTTTTACTCTAAAATTCAAGTGGCAATATGTTCGTATTCGATTCCATAACCTAGTCCCTAACTCTAGTAAGCTACGACGCCCACGGCGTCGGCGTCGGAGCTCCCTGGAGTTACCTAGTCCCATGCTCTAAGTTCTGAGTATGCTGCTATGCATAAATCTTCTGATTGGAATGCGGACATCGCTAGAAATAAGCACTATTGTCCAGAGCTGGTCTGCCTATCGTGCGTCGTGCATTTTAGTTCAGCTTTAAGAGGTCTTTATTTAATTGATTTTTGAAGGCTATATGTGTGTATTTAAGCAGGGCTGTCAACTTTGGAGTTTGGGGAACTGCTTCGAGATCGAGGCACTCCAGCAAAGCATAGCAGAGACAGAGTCGGACTAAGACTAAGAGAATCCATGCTAATGAGTGCTTCGAGGGAGGTCGTAGGCCAATTTTTGCTCAATGGCAGTGGCGTACGCGTACGCTGGATTTTATCATGGGGGATGTTTGAAAATTGCACCAATAAATTTCGCAACATCTGAGCCAGCCGCTGAATAAGCGGGGGTAGGGGGGGCGGGTGTGTTAGAGCACATTTTTTACATTTTTGGGGCGGGAGGTTTTTTCATAAACCGGGAGATTCTACTTTGAAGCGGGAGGAAAGGCGTGCTGGTGGGAATCTCCCGCTAAGAGGGACGGAGGGAGAATGAGCGTGGTGGCGTGAGACTCCCTCCAAATGCGGAAGAATGGCAGCCCTGATTTAAGTTTTTGGTTGGGAAGGGTAGGTTGTTCCAATCTTTGAGTGTGTGAGGGAGGAAGCTGTTGAGGTATGCTTTAGTCTGGCATTGGAGTAGGGTTTATCGATCAAGATCTCTTATGGGTCGTGTTGGTTATAATGGTAGACAAAATATCCTACATGTCATTCATTTTGTTGCTTGTAACAGTGATGTGTTGGAATTGGGTGCATGTCTGTTTCAAGATCTGTCTCTTTATGTGTCTAACAGTAACAGTCTCTTTAAAGTTTATCTCCCTCAGAGTCCCTGTCTTGTTTGATGTTCTCCTGTACTACTAGTTCTAGATCTATCTCCCTGTCTCTTTTCCACCAACTCAGTCTTTATTCATGTCAATGATTTAATCTCATTCTCTCTTTCCTTATTTGTATTTGTTCTTACTAAGTTCTAATGAAGTTCTATTCTAACCCCTTCACTAGGCCTACTACAGAACAATCTGAAAGATTCAAGTAAAACTGAAGCAAGTACTTAGCTAGCACTCGTTTGTACCAACACCAGTGTTTGGTTTGCACCCATGATTCTTGGCTGTCATTTCTTGAAGCACGGACTCGCCTTGGGATCCAAGATTATCCGTCATCGCAAGGGATTTTCGACATCGGTTCATGCTTATCAAGTCAGGTATAAATATGATGGGGCCTAGGGGTAGGGGGTTTGGTGTCAGGACACTTATCAAACAAAGACTTCTCTCTTGCCTTGAGATTGAACAAAAAATATTCCTCAAATAACACTAAACATCATGAATATTTGTCCTTGTATTAGTAGGGTGTCTGAACGATTTTTCAATTTTCAATTTGGGATCGTTTTTCACCATTTTTGTTGGATATTGGAGTAAAAAATGTAATCAGAATAATACCTTTCAAATTTCAAGACTCACCGATGTTTCTATCAAAAGATACAGCCCCTCAAAAACTGTGCAATATTCATAGCATTTTGGTCAGAATGGACAGAAAAGTGGTTCACGCAGAGTTATAATTTCTGCTCAAAAGCTGCACAGCTAATGCACAGCACGATATGCAAAGCGTGGAGCAAGGGTATTTTCAAACTGTTGTAACAAATGATCCCTTGGGACTAGAGAAAAACTAAGTGCATGGATATATTCTTTACAGCTGGCCCAACTTATCCCTCGGGGGGGGGGGGGGGGGCAGTTCGTGAAATTGGTAAATCTCCGAGTTACCATGGAAACGATGTTTAAATCGCTGTTTTGAGCAAGATATATTTAGAATTCCGGGGGTGGCCCCCTATGGGGAATATGGAGAAAAACCTGCTCTTTCATATGACACCACATTTATTGAGTTTCACCTTCAGGATCATTTGTTATAAAGGTTTGAATTTCAAATTTTTCATAAAATCATTGACCAATTTTGCTTGGTCGCGCAATGCATGTAGACCACATAGGGATGTGTGCAATCTCTATGGGAAAGATTTTAGCACACAACATCGGGTGCGCGATCAGACACCCTAGTATTAGTGTCCAAAATAAGTTGTAGAAGATTTAAGAAATATCGCTAGTAAACTACTTCAAATTGCTGTTTTAAATCAACTATCCGGCTGTGTCAACACACAATGTCTGGGTATGCTTACTTATTTTTACTTTCTTAAAGGTACTATGTCCCATTTGCAGCCAAACATCAAATTCTGTCGAACTTTGAGGGAATTATGGATATATCACGTTACGTATGTCCTATCTGTGAAATTCAAACATTAGCAGTGTCCTACTATTCACATTATGCGAGGAAAACGTTTACTTTCTAGACTGTACTGTCAGACACTATTGAGAGACTGACTGGCTTCTTTTTTTTCTTTGGTAAAATTATACATAAAATGAGCTGTGCAGGTACATGAGAATTTGTCTACATCAATAACCCAGACTGAAGTGCACTGTGCATGTGTTTGATATAGAAGATAAGACCTAGACGCCTGTATGAGTTTCAACTCTACCATATTATATATAATTTTGTTGTTCTTGTTCCGATTTGTTTGAATATTTCTAGGGGTGATGAAAACCTGCATGTGAAGGAACTGCTTGAAGAAAGAAATCACCAGTATCCAAGCTCGGATTCAGGTGAGAAAGACGTACATGCCCAGCGGCTTACTGCAAATCTTTGGGTCATTGTGTCAGAATGCCCCTTTATTCAGGAAATGTCGGGGTAATGTTTTTGAAGTAAAATGCCTCTCATCTACAAATGGTCTAGTCCAATCTAGCGGACACTTTGTGAAAACCATATCGCACATCTACGAAAGGTAGTGTCATCTTCTGCTTTCATTTCACGAATGGTCATGCATTGCGACCACCAGACCGGACGCGATGGCTGGATGATACAAACTAAGACACGTTCAGCAGCTTTGAATAGAAAAACCTGTGAATCCCCAGAATCAGGCATACATGTACATGTATGTAGGTTGAAATATGTTGGCTCAAGGAAAATTCTGATTTTTTTTTTTTTTTTTTTTTTGGAAGGGGGGGGGGGGGGGAGAGGGGTAAATATAAAGCAATACACATACATTATTATTATATAAATTGGAGCGTATTTGCAATCTTGTTCCTTGCTTCTTCTTCTTCAGTCGTCCCTTTTGATGAGAATAGGTTGCCTCCTGTGTCAAATGTGTACAGCAAAGACAATGCAAATATTTGGTACTTAGAGGCCAGTTTGTATGTGCAGCATGGTAATCTTTAGTACCAAGCTATAAGGATTGTCATGAAGCATGCTAATGCGAACATACCCTGACATTGTCATATTGAAATTGCCCCCAGAAACTTACAAAAAGCCTAGCTAACATTCAAAATTATTGTCCTAATGGCAGACTGATGAATAATAATAAGTCAGAATTAGGAGAGCTGAGCCTGTGCTATGAAGCAGTTTCAGCCTGATGGTGGAGCCGCTCCTCGGTAAGCAGTAGATGGCAGGTTCAAATCCTCTAGGTTCCAGGGTATTTTCTGGACTTTTTGTTTTGGTACAATTACAAGATCGAGCACACAATCTTAACTTACTGAGTGCAAGCCCCGAATCTTTTTACAAATTGAAAGTATACTCTCAAGATGCCTAACATAAAAAACAACACTATATACTCTCTATCAAATGCTCAACTTTGTTCATTCTTATTATAGCGGCTCGTTCACTTTTGACACATTTAACTGTGATGACATGAGCATAATGTGCTTCACAAGTACATGTATGTATAACACACAGATAAGGGACTAGATATGAGACTATGTATAAGACATTTCTTGCATGCAGATATTTTTGTTTTCATCCCATCTTGCTATTCAGATACACATATTTAAACAAACATTAGCACTCACATTGTGTGAGAAAGAGCCCTTTTAAAAATATTTTGCACAAATCAGTTCCATATTTAGTGTGAAGTGCAAACTTATATACCACAATTACAAATTTGAGGTTTCTTCAAATTGATGTATTTTTGCCTGTAAACTGAAATTTAGAAAGAATGTGCAAATGGTAAATTCGACTGAGTAGAATTTATGTGTACAGAAAGTATTGAAATTATGGAGTTGTCTCAAGGTAACTTCTCCAAGTTCTTATTAAGGTAAAATATATAATTATGTTAGGTCAGTCCATAAATGTCAGATTTTTTTCTTCTATTTCATAGCGTATAAGCCTTAAAATGTATCATGTATTTACTTACATGTATCCAGGAAAGATAATGTCTGCTGGGGAGGAGTTGCCAGTGACAAAAGATGATGCCGCATCTGTCAAGCGACCGCAATTTGGGAACAGATTTCTTGAAAATCCTGACAATGTCTTCCAGCACAATGCATGGTGAGAAACTTCATTTAGAACTTCAAGAAATGATAATAATAATGCATAAACTATACTAATGCTTGTACATGTAAGTGCTGTACTATTATAATCCCTGCCTTAGCAGAGCTACCCTGTTAAAGTGCTTTGGCATTCCTACTTGGTACTCATTTACTTCACCTGGGTTGAGAGTGGCAAATGTAGATTAAGTTCTTACTTACTTGGGTATACTTGGGTGTAGAGACTGGAAGCTTAGCTTATTTGTCCCTCTTTACTGTTGCATCCCGCCTCAAGTATGGTTCAAACTTAATTGGATTGTTTCTCCAATACCTTTCTAGGGACGACTTGAATTGGTTAATGGTGGCAGCATTGACTACTTCCTTATACAGGGCATTCCAATTGTTTACACTCCTTATTGAGAAACTATACTGCCTAAGTTGAAATGTTGTTTGACAATCTTGAAATCATGTCCTCTTGTTGTTGAGACAGTGTTAAGTTGGAAGAATTTTGAAGGATTCACTCTGTCAAAGCCTCTCAGGATTTTGAATATCTGTATCTGGTCTGCTCTTTGTCTTCTGTAAGCCAAAGTAGGAAGTTGTAGTTCTCTAAGTCTGTCTGGGTATGCTTGTTGTTTCAGTTCAGGAAGAAGTCTGGTGCCAAAGGACACAAGTGTGTTTCACATTATAACATCAGGCATTTTACCTGTTATTTGTGTTTGAAATGTATACACCCAGTAGATCAGCAAAATTAAAGAACTTGATATTTACTCTATATTTCTTGCTCTTTCTCTCATATTTTATTTATTTTTCTCTCTCTCTCATGCTTTTCTTTGTTCTATGTCTCTTCTTTCATGAACTTGTATGGCAGGGACAATGTGGCATGGGACCCAGAGCAACTGGAAGCTGCCAAGAAGAAAGTGGGAGAGAATTCCAGTCAACAGGTCGAAACAGAAAAAAAAGGTACATGTAATGCTGATTTAAAAGGTGGTTCTATAGGCAGTTGTAACACACATGCTCCTGCCACAATTTAAAGGGAGTGTGTCATGACGAGACTATGTGTCTTTCCTGTGGCCCTACCTGGGGCCAATCGGGTATAATACGACTACGGACGATGCGACCGCAGCATTCATGTGTGTGCAACATACGCGAAACAGAAGCGCTGACCCAGTTAATCAAGTCCATTCGTTTATGTGCAGTTGTCCAATAGAAGACGTAGATGGCGTCAACCAGTATTCGCCATGATACACTCCCTTTAATTTGTCTTCCTTTGACACTTTGAAGAAAGAGCATTAATCATACCTCTTTGATAATTTAATGATTTTTTTGAATTATTGTTCTCATTATATATCTTTCCGAAGGTAAAGCTCATTAACAAATTAGGTTAATTGAACTAGTGCCATAGAGAAATAATTGCATGCTTCTCAATTGTATTCTCAATATAAACAAAATTGCCATCACCAAAGTACTACATGTAGTCATTTTATGATGCACAGAGCACAGGAGACTAAGGAGAGAAACCTAATATACTGAACCAAAATAGTTTGCATTGAATACCACTACCGCATTCACAAACACCACAATTCCTTTAGATTGTAAAACCAAACAGATTTTCACATTGAGGCTGTTAAAAGTTCATTTCTATTGATTAGAGCAGTATTTATATAACTTTAAAAGAAAAAAGAAAAGTTTAAAATCGCAGCAAATATATTTTTTTTTACTATGGATAGGGTTGATGTATCACATGGAAAACATTTTGTACCAACATCTTTTTTTCTTTCTGGGCATTAGTCTTGTCTGTACCTTTCTTTTTATTTTTAGTTCAATTGTATTTTTGCTCTTTTGATTACTTTTTTCAGAATTGTATGAAGCTGATGCTGATAGGTACTGGAACGAGTTCTACTCTCTGCATCAACACAAATTCTTCAAGGATAGGCACTGGCTCTTCACCGAGTTCCCTGAGCTCTCCTCAGACAATGCCCAAGCATCAGCAAAAGAGTGTAGCTCTGAAAGGGGAGCATCTCAAGAAACTTCAGAGCCTAGGACAATGGACAGCCTTACCACAGGCGGTTCAAACACCTCCGCAGAAGCAACGGAGAGGAAAAGTGAGGATTGTGAACATGGTCCTACATCATCAAGAACTAGTCGGAGTGAATCAGGAACTGATGAAACCCATGTAGCAAGTGATGATTTCCCAGGAAAGTCCGCCCACAAAAGGATTCTTGAAGTTGGCTGTGGAGTGGGCAACACCATCTTCCCCATCCTGCAGACAAACGCAGACCCTGGTTTGTTTGTCTACGGCTGTGACTTCTCCTCTGTGGCTGTTGACATCGTCCGCCAGCACGCAGAGTACAACCCATCCCGTTGCCATGCCTTTGTCTGTGACGTCAGCGACCCTGCAGCCACGTTTCCGATCCCTGATAACAGCCTAGACCTCGTCGTCCTGATCTTCGTCATGTCTGCCATCAACCCCGATCGGTTCCTGTCGACGATCCGAAGTCTTACCAGACTCCTCAAACCCGGTGGTAGGATACTCTTCAGAGACTACGGTCGCTACGATCTGGCGCAGTTGCGCTTCAAGAAAGGCAGGTGCCTCTCGGAGAACTTCTATGTACGTGGAGACGGGACCCGGGTCTACTTCTTTACACAGGATGAACTGCGGGAACTGTTCACTTCAGCTGGGCTGGTAGAAGAACAGAATACTATTGATAAAAGGTTACAAGTGAACAGGGGAAGACAGTTGACAATGTATCGTGTCTGGATACAGTGCAAGTATAGAAAACCATGATACAGCTCCTCCGAGTTTCTACCACCAACCATTTTATCCTTATTGGCTTTTAGATTTGCTGATGTGGTGAGACTCGGGCACAATGTAACAGAGAAGAAGCAATTAAGTGAATTTTATTACGCAGTGAAAGAATGTACAAACTACAAGGAATATTAGTATAACAATTGTAATCATGATAAATCAATTACAGTGCTAAATATACATTCAAGTCCTGGCCAATTAAACAATTTTTTCCAGCAATTTTACAGTATTGCCGGAAAATCCATCGGTTCAATTTAGTAGAAAACAAATTTACGTTGTGGACTGTCGATCAAAATTGCATGCGCTATAGGTCTTTCAAGTTAGTGTTTGAGCCAAGGGTTTGTATGTGTATCCTTTATTAAACATAAATCCTGTGCATTCTGAAAAAAAATACTCCTATCAGATGTTTGTATTCCTAATATGTGGTGTAGTGATCATTAAAACTTGAAAATTATACGCTGTTATGGTAGACACTTTTTTTTCTTCTGTATGCGTTCATATAAGCTAGATGTTGTACTGAAAAGACCTTTCCCTGCCCCTCCATTCAGGTCTGTATCATCTGTCATTCAAACAATTATTTCTCTGATCTCAAGATGTTGATTGGTCTTGTCTTGGCTTTTTTTAATGTGACTGCTAGTCTCCCCTCTCCCTCTGTTTCTTCCTCCCTACGGTATATAAGTCTTCCTTTTTGCCTTTAGATGTTCGTCAAATATTACTGGTATATACCTTTTCGACAGGGACCAATTTTATTGTTGATGCTATTACTGATTGGTGAAAATCTCTCTCACCAATATTATTTATAGCTTCATAAACTCCCAAATAAAGATTTTAATTCCATGAATCAACTGAGAATTCCTTATTGTCATTGTATTGTACACAATTTGTCTTAACATAGCACACAGAATGATATATGGACAATAAAAAGATATCTGTACACAATCAATATATATACCATGCATACATTTGTTTTATTACATATGTTACAATACAACAAAAGAGTTTCACATACATATTGGATATCATCACATATGTACTTGCAAGTTTCTTTAAACATTTTTTTCTGTATCTAATAGGCTATGATACAATCGTCCAAAATATTTAACATCCATAGCATGTAAGATCAATGACACTCGGTTCTTTTAATAACCACATGTAATGTACTTCTCGTCTAGAATACAGGAATATCAACCGATGCTTCTGGCATGGCTTAGAGTAGAGTAAACAAGTCCATCGTAATTGCAATGTAAATTGGCGTGGGTATATCACCATTTATCTTTTAGAAGCCATTGCTTTCCTTAGGGTAGAATTTTTAAAAAGCACACTACGATGATTATTTGGGGATTCCCCAAACAAATGCTTGAAGCTTACATTACAAAGAGTTGTGAAAATAGGGGTTGGATTTACTGAGTAGAACAAGAATTATCTGAATGTTTGAAGATTGATGATTAAATTTTAATCTTAAAACGGTGCCATGCAAATTACTTATGCTAATAAATGATTACCCGGTATACATAATTATGCAACATTCTGTGACCAAAAGGATGACATATTAATCAGCAGTGTATGACTTTCAGCATAAATGATGAATGTATTAATCAGATACAAATGAGGAATAAACTCATCTTCCCTGTAAATTATTCAACATTTTTTCAAATTAAAAAAAAAGAGAGACTGTCTGTCAAAAGACAGAAAAAGAGGAACCTGATAATTGATATTGAATTACATTACAAATACAAAGAATTAAATATAGCCAATTTGTCTCACATGTTCACCATAAATAACAATATATGCTCTCCAAATTTCAATTAGTTCATTATTTTTCCTTATACTGACTATTTTGCTTTAGAAAATCTTGGGAGAATTTAGAGCAAGACTTCTGAACTAAATTTGCATGAGGTATTAAACAGACATAGCACTTCATTTGTGCTGATTACAACGGCTTGGTTTTATAACAGTGCACATAAGAACTAATTTTAATTGGCCAATCAGTTTCAGAGTAGAACTTGTCAATTCACTTTTACTGTCTGTTGATCATCCTTTCCTACAAGGATATTATATGCTTATATATATACTTTGAATACATTCAACATTTCCTTCATTAGCACATCTTACCTTGATTAATGTAACATTTCTGAATTAAATGAAGAAATAGGCATGGAACAAAAAGATAAATCAAACTTAAATTATTACTATATAAATCATTTTCTAAAAATAGAAATCATTTTGAATTGTTGATTGTACCCAACATTTGGAAGCCAATTTGTAGTGTTTGTGCATTCTTCTTTACTTCGTGCTTTAAATCTTATCTACTGCGAGAGTAATTTTTTCTGTATACAGGGTATTTACACAAATTTAATTATATTTCAATATTCTTTAAACAAAAATAATGCCTCAACTACAAAAAAAGCCATATGAGCTGGGCCCACAACGACAAAACGAAACCTTCTATCTGTGCTTCAAGCTGGAGTTGATAGTTAATGCTACATCTAGTAATTTTCTTGACTTATATGTGCTTTGGATACATTTGTTGAGGGCATATGCAACTTATTTATTTTAAAAAAAGAAAATGCCACTTCACAATCTGAATGCCCATTTCACATCGCTATAGATTGCATTATCTCTAATCCAAAGCTGCACATATAACAAAAACAAAACAACAACAAAAAATCATAACAATTGAAAACTAAGGAAAAAAATAAAACATGGCAATTTGTGAAATATTGTTCTAGCAGGTAGCAGCGGCTACTCTCTGCGACTTGTGACAAGTCCAAGTTGGGGGCTTTTCAGAACAAACTGATTTCATGAACACACATAAAACTATGTCTCCAGATACTACATAGTGGAGTTATAAGATTTCTTCTTCAAGTATATTTATGGGACATGTTGACAAATGAAACCAGGGTTTTATTACATGTTATAGATGTCAATTTAAGAATGGATATCTTACCACTCCCAGCAAAAGCACTCCATTTTGTCAAATCTACTCTACATAGACCCACTCATATTACAGCAATCGTACAACCTGTGATGTATCGATGCAAGGCCCCTAAAAATCCCAAACCCTAAATTATTTCCATACATGGTACATCTGCATGTTGTAGAGTCAGAGAATCCACTAGACATGGCGTAATTTCCCAACATACATTTAACTTTTACAAGTAAATCCATAACTTACCATAGTGGTAAGAAAACCCTGATAAAAACTGCTTCAGACGTGGCAAGAGAATTTGGAGATTGAAACAATCGATACGTACCTAACACATGGATCATAAACAAAAATGAAATCCCAAGGATATTTTCTACGAAATTCAATGCATCCTGCAACTTGATTTTTGTTGTTATACTCGTAAGGTTTTAACAGAATGTAGGTTTGAAGTATGCCATGAGATTGCATGTAACATCATAACATGTGACACCAAAACCAATATGCAGCTTAAAAGTTTACTGGAAAAAATTGTGCGACCTTCATGTAAGTGGATACATTTTTCCCAATAGCTAATAGGTCACAGGAAGAAAGAAAGATAAAATGTACGAATGATTGATCTATCTTACAGGAACCCTCTTATTTTACATCACATTTTATTAAAGGAAAGAGAAAGTTCATACTGGTTTACTGTTGATATAATCTAGTATTTAAGGATATAAAGCGGAATTAAACAAAAACATTTCTACAAGAAAACTTTCGAGGGCAACATCTACAGCATTTGTGACATAATAATGAAATAAGAAATCCATGATTGGAAAATTTGATTTTATTTCTCTTGGTGTACTACTCGAGCTGTAAAAAAGATTTCCAACATTACCTCAATACTGCCCAACATCATAAGATAATGTATCGGGCTCTCATGGTTTATTTTATTAAAAAATTGATAAATAACATGAAAGGTAACCTAAATGATGTGACCTAACGCGAGTCATGATGAACGATCTGCACTTCCTATTCAAATTTGAGTCGAGTCCACAATATGAAGGGCAATATATAGATTCAATGTACATACTACACAAGCACTAACTACATGCAAGCACTTGTTTTTCTCTGAATTTTCCTAGCAAATGCCCACTGTCAATTCCTCTTTCAAATTAACACAATCTTTGAAAAATAATAAGAAATTTATTTCAGCCAAAGCAAAAGGAAACACATTCGGTCTAAAAAAAAAAGAATTGAATTTCTGCGACGAAAACGACACGTTCCATTGCCTTCCCACAACTTACATAGACTCTGTCAATCATAAACTCTACCTCGATTCTACCTGCTTCCCCCCCCCCCCCCCCCCCCCCCCCCCCCCCCACCTCCTAATCAGTAAAAGGAATTTTGTTTGTCTTCACTTATGACAGTTGCTAATAGCAAGGAAGGAAGGCTATGATTTTTACAAGACTTGATTTATCTCAAATAAGAAATTTCAGCTGTATAAACAATGATTGTATTGCCATGATTGATTGAACATAGGTAATAACAATTTGAACAATATCACAGCACTCTGATCACAACAGACTTGCTTTCAATCTTCTCATACAATTAAAAGCTTGGTTGTTTTAGCAAATGCTCTTTTGCAAGGTACTTGTGTTCAAGCGGCACATCACAAGTGGTGTGTGTGTGTGTAATTGGGTTTTTACAGACGTGTATCAATCAGATATGATTATTTACGTCTGGGGACCGACTTTTAACGTTACCATCCGTAAGACGGGACTCAGTTTCGAACCTGCGTCCTCGGCTGAATCAGGTTATAACTTCCATTGTTAGCTGGATTACAGGCGCACGCCACAACGCCTCGTAAACCTGTCTCATTTAAGTTACCCTCTAGCTTCTAAAACCTTGTAAACCTGCTCTGGTTGTGGGATTTCACTAATTGGCAAATGTTGTTATGCAGACTAATAGACCATTCTTCAGTTGTGAGTTTAGTACTTTACTCAGGGATGCCAGTTAGAATTGATCAATTTGATCAGTGGGCCTGAAAATCACCTAGAATGAGCTAATTGTACACAAAAAAGCCTAAACTATGGTCTGAAAATAACTCGCCAGGGCCTGAATTCAGGCTATTGCCTGAAAATTGGCATCCCTGTTTACCACATGAGTAACAATGGAATTCGGAGAGAGAGTTTGGATCTAGATTTCTTTCTAGATTGCTAAACAAAACAAAAAAAGCAACCACAGTGGGGAATTGAATCTCGGTACCTTACTGGCATGTTAGGGATGGACACTTCAGTATCAGACTCTCAAAGCATGATTTCGTACATTTTCCTTTAGGCTCACACTTGCAAAGACAGAAATCATGTTGTTAAAGCACTTGATTGTTTCTAATCATCATTTATAAATGTATCTGATGCTGGTGTCCTTTTACACCTCATTCACGCTACCAAACTGACTTTCATGCCAGCTCCAAACAGATAACATCTTGGCTATTCGCGGTTAAAGGTAAAGGCCAGTAATGGTCATGCGATTGCATTGTGAAAGAAACCTTGTGAAATCGATCAGAAAAGGTTGATCATCTAGCATAGATGTACTGCAAGGTTCTGGAATCATCAACATGATAAGAAATATGGCCCAGTCTTCGTAAAGTTACAAGCACTGTACACAGAAAGATGTATATGGGACTATACGCACACGTGCGCGACACGTGCGTTTATCTCTCACAGACCATGTAGATAAACTAATTTACCAAATATATCAATTAGTAGGCGGTTTCCCGGAAATTTTTTATCATCATGTATTAGTCAAAACATATTCTTTCACATGATTGGTAATAAGAGCTTCCATTTCATTTTTTGAAATTGGGGTGTTTCCAATACTGGTCTTTACCTTTAACCCTATTTAGCCCGGGGGGGGGCTTCAGAAGCCCCCCCCTCGACATTTTTCGCGATAATTTTTTAACGCAAGAAAATCTTGCACTGAAATTTTGTGACTTTTTTCTTTCGAGTCTTGCGCATCTTTTGAAAGAAATTTTTCGAAAATCGGACCTACCATTACAAAGTCACGTGTCCTTTTGTCTTTGCATGTCAGCCCGAAAATCGCTCATTTTTGTGATTTGTGTACAAAACATATGGAAATCTCATTTTTCGAATAAAGAGATAAAACATTGGTTATTTGGTCTTGTTTATAGTTTAGGGTGTTTATTTTGGGGTCAAAATAGTTGAATGATAGTTAGAAATGATATAAAACAACAAAAACAATAAAATACATAAGTTAAAAAAACAAAGAAATACATAAGAAATTATCAAAACAATAGATAACATAAGGAATAACCCTGGTTTTTAAATTTTTTGTGTTGTATTATTATTCCAAATGGTCTAACAAATATATGTAGTGAGAAAGAATGCCTTAATATGAATAATGTCTGATTTATGGGCAAAAATGTGAATTTGATGACCTTATTTGCATAAATTACCATAAATATGCAAATGAGTGAGTTTTTCAAAAAATTGAAATTACCATAGTATTCTATACACTTCACTTGACATGTATGCAAATTTTCGCGGCGATCAATCGTTTCACGGCCGAGATCATAGGGGGGGGGCCTGAGAAGCCCCCCCCCCTGGGCTATGCAGTTTCAAAATAGCCCGGGCTAAATAGGGTTAAACAATGGTTTGATTGGTCTACTGTCAATCGATGGTGTAATGGAGGTAAAAGCAGCAAATGGATACCTTACATAAGTCAATAAGAAGGAGGCGTCAAATATCTGCACACAGCTGGAAGAGGATGCTACAAAATATGCCGTAATCTACATTTGTAACTATTACACTAAGTACAATAAAAAAGAGACAGCAAATAGATGAACTCTACAGCAAAAGTTTTGAATGGACAATGACAGCGCTCATGGTCAAACAGTCTTATTATTTTGTCTCTTAAAACCTGAGGGGAAGGGGGCTTCAAATGATTTGTGTGCGTTTGTGCTCGGGAAATAGATGCGAAGAAATTAGTGATCTATGAAAATGGGTGATAGTACATAAACATATCCCATGTATGTATCGACTACAAAAAATGAAATAAAGAATTCAAATACGGACCTTGATCGTGACAAGTACATAGGATTACATAAACAATTCCACTATCCACAGCTTGGCTCACCTTAATTCTTTCCAAAAAGCTTAAGATGCGCATTTTGTGAAGGTATCATCATTATCATCATACCTTCATCATCAACATCTTTTGCAAAAAGTGACAATTCAAAACTGTCCTCCCGCATGAAAACTAGGAACAATGTGAAGGTCATCTCTTCATACTTATAAATCCATTACTATTTCACTATCTATTAAACATCATGGCATGATACATAACCATGATTCAATAGCCACATACATGCTCTCTTGATACAGTTTGGTCTTTTTAAAAGACACCAACCTATCAAAGTTCTGCTTCTGAATATTCAGCGCAGAAGAGGTGCACTACATGGCGTATAGAGACTACTTAGATATAATAAGCCCAATGCTCACTTGGACGATCAGACTGCGATACGGGTATGGAAGAAATTGCAACAGCATTTGATATAGACATTCGAACATGGACAAATCTGAACAATGAAGGGAGGGTCTGAATGGTCGAATGAACAAATCAGGCAAAATTGTGCAATGGTCCACAATCTGAAAACCAGGGGGGCATTTCACAAAACTTGTCATCAGTGACAAATGACAGTCTTTGTTATAAGCTACTGAAATCCTTGCTTGTGATTGGTTATCAGCAGATTTGTCACTGATTTTGTCGTTTTGTCATTGAAAAAAGGCGTTGTGAAACTGGTCCCAGGTTGGCCTTTCCTCCAACTAGACCTCATTCTGGTGTGAAATAATGAAAACCAAATACTGGGTGACTACAAACATTTTTAAAGAAGATTTTGCCTAAATGTACTTCACTCCAACTGCCATAGCATTCAACGTGAAGAACTGGCTAAGCTCTTTCGATTGATACCAAATTTGTTACAGTGGCAGATACTTTTTGAGAGTTATAGCCAATTTTATGATTTTTGTCTAATTGCCCACCACTTGTTTGAATCTCCATATCTGACACGATTACCATTTCTTCAAAATATTGATCGCAGTCTGGCCATAGCATGAAGTGGGACTACACATGGGGAAACCTGGGTAGGGTATTGAAGATTAAGTGGAGTTCTCTGAATTGCTGATGTTTGAGTGACTCTGGGGACTACTGACTGCGGCCGAGGCATGAGCTGCAGCAGCTGCAGAGCTCTTCTTATTGGAAGGCATCAGGTAGGGGTCCTTGGCCAGGGCTAGCACGTCTGCCCGATCCTCCTTGCGGTACATCAGGCACCGGCGGATGAAGTCCTGGAAAACGACAGTTTAATACAAGAAAATGGTAAATACACAAATTATGGTTAAGACCTTGGAATAAGCCAGTTCATAGTTGCAGTCTGAGCATGAGCAGATAAAGGTCATTGTGAAATACATGTAGACAAAATACTGGATCTGGCTCTAGAAAGTTATGCAATCATTATTCATTTAAGCACAAGCAGTGCACTCCATGATACACAGGTGGAAGTATTCTTTGAAAAGTAGCACCTCCATCGCTGGAGGAGTGATTATTTCAAAATGTACAAAGTGGAACCTTTCGGGGTCATTTGGAACATGTGTTAACCATGAACTGGTCTATTGTATTCCACTACATTTCACATGCTCCTGCCAGTGTTACATACATCAAAGACCATATTCCCTTTGACATCTTTCCTCTTGAACCCCAACTGTATCCAGGCTATCTTTATCACATTCTTGACCAAAGGTTGGTTACACTTCAATGACCATGTTCCTTGAACCTTTGACATACATAGCCCTTTAATCTACTGTTAAACCAGAACTTTACGAAAATTTCACAAATCTTGCCAAGTGATGAAGATTCACAAAGTTTCTTGCTGGGAAATGTCACAACATGATTTTTGCAAATTGATATTCCTAAGAAAAACTGCTTTTAACAATTTAAAAAAGTTTTTGGCTGTGCATCAATCACTGAGATACAGTATATTTTGACCTTTGACATTTAAACCCCTTGTATAGTAATAGATACTTGATCAAATAATCTCTTCAATGGTTCTGAATTTATCACAGTAATATTATAAACGTGAGACTAACAGATGGATGGACAGGCAACCTGAAAATCATCACAGAAAGTAATTGATTACAATCATAGTTCTCTTAAAACTCTTGTATGACTCTTTGACCTTTGACATCTAAACCCCTGAATCTTATTGGTTCATTCTTGTATAGTTGTACAAACTTGATCAAATGATCTCTTCAATGGTTCTAAAGTTATCCCAGTAATGTTAAAAATGTGAGACTAACAGATGATTGAAGCCCTAAAAAATTGAGCTTCAAAATGATCATGAGGTGCCTCAAAAAAGTAAAAATCTTTGAGTGACCGGTTTTACCATACTCATTTTCCCCAATGGACTGTAGTGTTAGGAAAACGAAAAATGAAAAGTCATGGGGTTCCTGACTGACCTACAGGTCTATAATTATCATTGCAGCATGAGCTAAATCCAGGATTTTGTTTCAGAATCTGAGACAAAGTTACCCAATCCCTCTGAGAAGAGAGACAACAATTAAACTGACCTTTGCTTCCTGGCTGACCGTTGGCTTTGGACTGAACTGGACTTGAGTTGCTCTTAGGATGGTATTCTGCTCCAAGATAGAGGCTTGTGATAGGTTGTGACCAAATGGCTACAATGAGAAAGAGAGAGAAAAAAAAAAAGAGATATCGTAAGGATTAATCGACCAATATTCATGGTTTAAACGACCGAGTCATTTTTGTTCGTAAAATGGGTCGCGACCATGACAGTAGGTGTACCTGGGTCAATTTTCTCTCATTCGATACACCGATATCTACATGTGGGACAACAGAATAGATTTTGCATTGACTTTGTACATACCTAAAACTTGGCTTGTGCAGGTCGAAAAGGGGGCTTTTAATTCACTTCTTACGCTAGGAAATATTTTATTCCCGTTTATTCACCAATCAAAGATAATAGTATTATTTCATGAAGATTATCTTTTTGTGAATTCCTGAATTTAAAAGTCAATTGTTGTTCCAAAATGGCGAATTTCTCCATGGATCTATTACGAATGGACATTCATCGTTTTCTTAACAAATCCATTGTGATTGTCTCTGTCAATGTCGTCTCAATAACATTCCGTAAATGTTTCTTCACTTTGATCTCATGAGGGTCACCGCCAATAAGCCGGGACAGAATCAAGATAGTGATTTTAAACATGTTAATCTACATGCGTAGAAGATAATAAATCGCTTAAATCATGGGAAATTGATGTGCAGTTCTGGTTAATAATTGGTAATTGTTGTTCCGTGTACTGTGTTCTCTTTTTGAAAAACATGTTGATATTACCAGATAGGTTTTATTTGGATTGTTTGTGATTTAAAATCCTGTTTTCCCCAATTTCCTCATAATATTCGAGAATTACAACGCACATGGCTTATAAAGACCATGGCCTTCTAAATGTTTTATAAGGTCATTGGTGCGTGCAAAAGTGTGCGAATCAGTAATAATAAATTTCATATCACCAAAATCGTCTGCTTTTCAACTTTGCTGCTCCCCATTGGGGATGTTTTTATTTGAGACACACTCTTACAGAGCACACCATCCAAACAAAACCCAAGAGAGGGAAACTGCTCCTTTGTCAATGCCCGAAAATGCTTACGCAGTCGTTATTGTTAAAACAGCTGAATGTTCTCATTAAGATGCACAGAATCAGAAGGCGGTGACTATCATTGGATCAAAGAAAGAATCACGTGGAATGTCCATCCGTAATAGGTTCATGATTTCTCCAAGTGTTTCCCTTCTCAAACAAGACTGCATGGTCATGTGTGACATTTGCCATTGCAAATCTATGCTCGCTGTTTAAAATCCAACACTACAATTACCTTTTTTCCATAGAGACATTGGTAGAAGATGATACCTGTTGACCAGACATCCACCTTAGAAGAAATCTTAGGAGGTTCTTTACCAACTACAAAGCATTCAGGAGGGAGATACCTGTCATAATAGAATGAGAGAGAGAGAGAGATATGGACATGCAGATAGGGCACTAGTAAATATGCAGACCAGGGGGGTGTTTCATAAAGCTGTTCATAAAGTTATGCATAACTTTACGAACCACTTGTATATGAAGTGCCAGATAGGATGCCCAAAGTTTTTCCCGATGTTTTAACAAAGTGTGACTATATTTCCAATAACCTCAATTAAATTATGGCAAAAAAAATATACTTTGCATTAAAAATGTTCCTTATAATAAGAATGTTAATCTACATCTGCACAGTTCAACTTTAGTTGATGCAGTTAATTCTGATTGGGCATCCCATTTAGCTTTTCATATGCGTAACTTAACGAACAGCTTTATTTATGAAACACCCCCCAGGACCCTTTAAAAAAACTTGTTGTCAATAACAATTGCTAAAATTATATGACAAATTTCCTTTCAGCCAATCAAATGGCATGATTTCAGTAGCTTATAACAGTTATTGGAACTTGTTATCGATGACACCTTGTATGAAACAGAGCCCAGGGGTTTCTGTTTGTTGCGGAACCTACAATTGCTTTAATTTTGTGACTACCGGTACTTTAAGACAAATCAAAATCAAAATTTGTGCTTAAAAAATAGTGAATCTTGGCCATAATACATGTACATGTAGCATTGGTAGTCATTATCATTATTTATGTAGTAATATAACTACCTTGTTCTTGAAGCCTTCTAGTTGGAGAAAAAGATAAATCAGTTTCCAGTATGTGGCCAGTTGTGTTAATACTGGTGAGACATGATTAATAATAATAATAATAATAATAACTATTTCTTATATGGCGCTTTTTCAGGAGGGCCCTATCAAAGCGCCTTACAGATATATATACTATTACCCCGGTCATCGAATTCATGGCTTACCCGCACACAATGTATGCACATTCTCCACTCCCTGGGGAGCATTCCAGCCAGGCGTCATTTTTACAAGCGCACACTTGCTAATCTAAGCATATTAGCTTTCGCATCCTACCGGGTACCCATTTAACACCTGGGTGGAGAGTGGCAAATGTAGATCAATGTCTTGCCAAAGGACATTGATGAAAATAATTCCCAGTACATATCTTTTTCTCGAATGGGGCACACCCACCCTATGATTTTGATCTGTATATTTTTTTCCCACCTAATTCAGACTATCCATTTCATAAAATCACATGAGTTTATGATATTCAACCAGAAGTGTGGAGGATATAACTGTTCATACGACATGACCTTCATCAGGAAAAATTGACATTTTCTAAAAACAGATTAAAAGTATAGACCAGTTTTGGAAACGCCCCCCTCTCAAAAAATGAAATGGAAGCTCTCATTACCATTCATGTGAAAGAATATGTTTTGACTAATACGTGAGGATACAAATTTTGCCGGGAAACCGCCTACTAATTGATATATTTGGTAGTCGCATAGTCCCATATACATCTTTCTGTGTACAGTGCTTGTAACTTTACCAAGACTGGCCCAAATTTCTTATCATTTTGATGTTTCCAGAACCTTGCAGTACACACCAATACTTATATGCTAGATGATCAACCTTTGCTGATCGATTCCACAACGTTTCTTTCACAATGCAATCGTATGACCAGAACTGGTATATACCTTTAATGATATCTAATCCTCCTATTGCAACTTCTATCTTTAATATCATTTTTATCAATAGCTAATTTTAAATTATTTATAATGCCATCTACAGTTTGAATCCCAGTAGATAACTAGTTCTTGTACTTTTTAAATAATATTACGAATGCTGTTCTTTTCTTCATATACATTCACACATATCATATGTTTCGTAATAGGATTTGACATCGATAGACCAGAGGCCTTTGCAAATCCCACCATATTTGAAATGGTTTGCGTTTCATACTTGATATTTTCTCTTTCAGTGTATATGTTATTGCCTTCGTGATTGTTCTTTTTATTCATATGTGGAAATGAAATGAATTGAAAGAAAAAAAATCCATTTGCGCACAAGGTGCGTAGTGGCTCTCAGGTTCTTCTTCTTCTTCAATTAGAGTACATACTTCTTTACAGAGTATTGTCGTACTATACTGGGGTGTGCAGGTGGACCACTACACCGGGGTTGCCCCTTACTCTTATATGAATAGTGCAATGGGTTCTTCACGTGCAAAGGTGGTGACTCTCCTCTACACGGGGCCTCCATTTAACGTCCTACCCGAGGGACGGGTTGTTGGCTTACCAGTATGTTCCTGCACCCTGCGAGGTCAGGTCCATACCCCCTTCCTGTGAGTTGAAATGCTCATCGTCCATCACCTTGGAAAGTCCAAAGTCAGTTAGCTTGATGGCACCGCATGTTGAACCATGACATAGAAGAATATTGCCTGGAAGATAAAAAGCAATATTAGTTTGAATTACATGTATCTATTATCATCTTGAAAAGTCGAAATTTGGTTAATAGCTTAATGACACCACATGTTTAACCATGACATAGTAGAATATAGTGCCTGGAAGATAAAAAGCAATATCGGTTTCAATTATCAACTATCATCTTGGAAAGTCCAAATTTTAGCTTAATGGCACCGCAATTTTAACCATGACATAGAAGAATGTGGCCCGGAAGATAGTAGAATGGGATTTTCATTATTATTCACATTCGTCATCCATCATCTTGGAAGGCCCAAAATCGTTTAGCTTGATGGCACTGCATTTTGAACAATGACATAGTAGAATATTGCCTGGAAGAGATAAAGCAATATTGGTTTCAATTATCTATTATCATCTTGGAAAGTTCAAAATCAGTTAGCTTGATGGCACCGTAGGTTGAATGACATAGTAGAATATTACCTGGAAGATAGTAAAATTGTGTTTCAGCATCATCGTCAACATTATCAAAATCATCACCATCATCATCCATAATATAACGAATCCCCACCACCACCGTATCATCATCATCATCAAAGCCATCAATATCATAGCTGAACAGCGTAATAATCACTTTCATTATTATCCTCCCTTCCTCGTCACCATACTCATCGCAAGGGCTCCAGAGGTTGGATTGTATGAACTTCCTATGATCATGGTCCCCCATAGACGCGTCTTCATCGTCTCGAGATTGCCAAATAGCCCGCTATTTCAGATTTTGAAAATACTCCCGAAGTTACAAATCGCGTCTTCATCAGCTCGAGATTCAACCTCGAAACTTAAAACGCAACCTTGAGAAATTAGCTCAAGATATTTTGCACAGCATTCGCGCAAAGTGCTGGATATTTTGCCAAATAGTGGGATATTTTGCAAATTATCCCAAGATATCTTGGGATGACAACCCTTACCAAATATCCCTCTAATTGCAACTTCGGGCTAATGAAGATGCAAATTAGCTGGATAGTTTGCGATCGGGATAGTTCAAATAGAGGGATATTTGGCAATCTCGATCTAGTGAAGACAGGCCTAATGATCCTCTTTTTCTTATGTTAATTGAGAGCTGATTTAATGATAGCCACCTGTCGGTGACCTTCCTGGGTGGTCTAATCCCTCCTAGCCAAACTAGTACAGACCGCCTTTAAGATTATTACCTGGTTTGAGATCGTAGTGAATGATGGGTGGCTTCCTCTCATTCAGATACTTGAGGGCGCTAACTACTTGCATGATGATACAACGCGCCTCTCTCTCAACCATCAGCTTGTGCTGCTTCAGGTGGAAGTCCAGGTCGTTGCCGGGACAGAATTCTAAAACAGTGCAGAATCTATAACAAAGTGGTAGGAGAGAAACAACAACTTCATTATTGGAACCTAACTGAGAGAGATTTCTAGAACAGAGCAGAGTATAAATTGGTCCAAGAAAACCAACATTGTCACTACTGAGATTACATATGATATTGTGAGAATTACATGCAATAATAAAACAGGCTTTTATCTATAAAGTGAGCTCTTCCAAGTCTGGTATTAAAGAAAAAGGTGTTATTCCTCTCTGTAAATCTTATATCTTTTCTTGACAAGAACGTATTATCAAGAATAATATCGCTAGTGACATTCGTTTGTCTCGCAATGTATGGTCAACAAGGGATCTAAAAGATTACGACGTTTTATGCACCGCTGCAACACTCCGTCAGGTGATAAAATATATTGTAAGCAAGCATGTTTTATACACTACGGGTGGACCAGCGGTCAAATAATTTGATCAATAGTTAAGAACGTATTATTTGCAGAGTATACAAGCTCGTAAATTGCTGTCATGAACACCTGGTTTACACTCACTATGAACATGACGGACAAAGAAAGAGGACAAAATATACAGTTCCTCATTCTACCCTCAACAATTACTGTGGTAGACAAAGGAACATCCCTTCACTGCTATTATGTAAACATGTGTAGAACAGGTGTCACATGCATATTCACCTGTTCTACACATTTTTACATGATAGCAGTGAAGGGATGTTCCTTTGTCTACCACAGCAATTGTTGAGGGTAGAATGAGGAACTGTATATTTTGTCCTCTTTCTTTGTCAGTCATGTTCATAGTGACTAGTATTAGCTACTTACGAGTTTGCATCAATCTCGAAGACATCATATAGCTTGACAACCCTCGCATGATCCAAACTCTTGTGGATTTCGTACTCCCTTAAAGCATGTCTGCAAAAAAATATAAGACAATTAGACATTTAAATATATATGCAATGAGATTTCATGAAATACAGCTTTTCAAATGATTTGAATACAACTAAAAGGTAGGCCGGCAATGCATCTATGTGTATTTTCATTCAGGTTTGACAAGTGATTAATGCAATACAAAAACATATATGTGGATTGAAACAGGTTATCACATAACAATATAATAGTAAATGTAATTTTATGAAACATATTTGCCTACTGAAATAAAGTAAACTGACTGAAGCAGAAGATACACACATGTCTCAAAATGCTGAACTGATGGTTTCAACCAGCAAAGATGAAGACCATGCCAAAAACCGCATACATAGAAAAACACAAACTTATAGAACTGCGTATTTGACTAACATAAGGCTAGCTTTGATAGTTCATGAGTCCAGGAAGTACTAAAACGGTCAAAAGTTTTGGATGATCTTTGTAATCAACCCTTGAAACAGAGACACAGCTCAGAAAAAAACATTCACAAAGAAATCTTTCAACAATTCAAGAACCTGACTATCAATCTAAATGTATAATTTAACTATTAGCAGAACACAAATATCTCCTGCTGCTTCAAAAGGCCTATTATAATTCAGTGGAATGAATGACATATACATCTTTGGCATTTCATTGTTTTCCGAGTGAATTTCGTAAATGCACTTGGGAAAATACTGCGAGTGAAGGGTAAAAGGGGAACAGTGAAATATTCAACCATTTTAAGATTTCATTGGTTGTCTTGTTTTCTAAAACAGTATGAATGTAAAGTTTGTCATAGCTATATAAAACTGTTCTTATGGTCTAAACACACCCAGCTACATGTATATAATTCTGCAGAGCTCATACTCACTTGATATAATTAGCCTTTTTATCTTCCTTCCATTCCTTGCTTAATTGATGAATCTTACATGCCACATCTCTATGGTCCTTCAGGTCATATCCCTGTGTAAAAAAATACAAATACACATGTGTTATATTACATTAAATATTAATCCAACAATATGCAAGTGAATATTGGCACTTCATAGTAGAAAACTTACGAAGGTGAAAGCTCGACTTCTACTGATTAAGTTTACTGCAAATGAATTGTTTAAGCACAGCATATGAAAGCAGAGTTTACCAAGGCACCAGATCTCAACTAAAGCCAGTGGGACTAACCTCTAGACTGAGCCTAATGAAGGGGGGGGCACTATCTAATCTCAAACCTTCCTCCCCGGGCTCCCCCTCCCCCCCCTCCCCCCCCCCCCCCCCCCCCCCCCCCCCCTCCCCCCCCCCCCTCCCCCCCCCCCCCCCCCCCCCCCCCCCCCCCCCCCCCCCCCCCCCCGTGATAGAAAAAAAAGTGTTAACCCTATTTAGCCCGTGCTATTTTGAAACTGCATAGCCCGGGGGGGGGGGGGGGGGGGGGGGGCTTCTAAGGCCCCACCCCACCCCTATGCATGAAGACTCTCGTGTACGGCTGATTATCAACGAAACGGAGTTAAGTCTTTTGTTAATTTTGTTTATTGATACGGCAGGAAGCCAGTGAAAACGAATTCGCTTAATAAAATTATGGAAATGCAAGCACTACTTTAAACAAACAGAACTTTGTCATTCCTCGCTCATTTTTTGGTTTCCTTCCTTCAAATTGCTTCTTGTCACTCATGCGTGAAATATGCATTACCTGAGTAGCATCACATGAAAGAGGAGACTCTTAAGCTTTCCAAATATGTATCATTAATTAATTAATTATAGTTGTGATTAAGTTATGATAGAACATTAATACTTCTCGGTTTCGTTTTTTCTGGGACGCACTGTATATATATATATCCCAAAACTGTGGTGTGGTGTGGTGTCGTGCGGTGCGGTGTTTTATAGTATACAAATGATGCACAGGTTTGAGTGTGTCAGTAGGAATTGTGTGCACAAGGTACCTTTGAATGTTTTTGTTTTTTTGTGAATTTAAAAAAAAGTGATATCGGTGGTATCGATATCGTATATCTCGTGTTGATATCGCGTGCATCCAGTAAAAAATCTACAAGGTAATTGACCAATCAGATTGCAGGGATTCTTTTACCCATCTTATAATATTGTTTTCAATGTATTTCTCAGTGCTCACCTTGTACACTTCACTAAAGCCTCCCTTGCCTAGGAGTCTTAATAGTAGATAGCGATCGTTGAGAACCTTGTGGTTTTTAAAGGTGGACTGGTCCTCGTTGTGAATACGTTTCAGCTCTCGTATGTGAAGATTCCGTTCTCGTTCTAGCTTCTCCAGTTCTCCCTGTAGATCTGATTCCTCCTGCATGAATGAAAGCCATAGAGGAAGAAGTTGTAGGAGAGGAATTGTCTTCCAAGGACAGTTGAATCGGTCTAGATATGTTCTCATGGAACAATTAAAGGGATCGTTTAACAATGTTAAATCTGAGATGCACGGCCCTACGTGTTATCAGTATCTGTTATATAGAAGCCATACAAAAATGCGCTTCAAAATTATCAAGAAGTGCCTCAAAAAAGTAAAAACCTTTGAGTGACCGGTTTTACCATACTCGTTTTCCCAAATAGACTGTAGTGTTATGAAAACCATTTGGCAAACGCAAAATTTGATTTCGATTTTCAATCATAAATATCTTGGTAATCAGACAGGCGAACAGATTGTAATAGTCATGGGGTTCCTGACTGACATAAAGGTTTGTAATTATTATTGCAGCATGAGCTAAATCAAGGATTTTTTAAAGGATCTTAAACAAAGTTACCGGATCCCTTTAATTTTTCTTTTGGGAAAACAATATTTCACATATTTCACTGCTGACAACGGACAGTCAACCTATTCAAAACGTTGAGCCCCTTCTACAGTCTACCACCCATCCTCTCCCTACTTCAACCCATACATACAATATAGTTCTCTTTAGAACTATAAGCTCAAGAAAGATTTAATACCAACAGTCATTTTCAGGACTCCTCAATCCTCCCCCTCTCACATGGTGCAACCGTATGCCTACTGTATATATCTACATCACCATGCAAGGCGATATTTATAAGCAGCATCTATTTCACATTCTGTATCTTATAGCAAAAAGATAGTGAATATGCATAGGATCTTTGCTACAGGCAGCTACGTTTTTCATGCCCACTTACCATTGATTTACACATTATAAAAATAAAAACACTACGTTTCCCGAGTCATATGTGAATTAGTCACTAAAGGTAATCTCAACTTCAAGAAATCATATAAAATAAAATCTCACTGGTCCCAACATAACTGTTAAATACCACAAGTAAATGATACAATATTCAACAATTAGGGTTGAAATGTATCATGGCTGTGTAATAAGCAAAGAAAAATAACTAATTGACCTAGTCTTCATGACCGCTAGTTGAGTAATAGAACACATGGTTTCAGTGAATGTCATTTCCAGCATGTTTTGATGGTTTCTTGACATTTTGCTGATCCAAACCACCAGTATACTTTATGATAAACAATTCAGGATTACTCCAAGCCTGTTTCTATCACAATGCATTGCAATATTCGACACTCACTAACAGGTACCGGTAAACATAACCCCAAAAGACCCCCTGCAAAAGAAGTTAATGTTTCTATTCATATTGTCCAGAAACCTCGTGAGTCTCATCATTCTATAATATATCCTAAGTTGGCCACCCAATATTCAAATGTGCATCTTCTTTTTTACAATTTTTTATCTTCATATTTCAAATTGAAATCTAACTACATTGTACCACATACATCTGTGAATCTTGATGTACACCCCCTCCCCTTTCTTTTTTTTTTCTCTCTCTCTCTCTCTCTCTCTTTCCCCTTTTACCAATATTCGTTCCACCATATTCGTATTATTATGTACCCATTGAGGGTAGTCATGATATCAAGCTTTGCTTACTTTGTCAACCCTCCTGTTTGATCTTTTCGATTAGTTACTTTATTCGACATAATATTCTTTTGCAATGTGTAAAATTTGCGATGTTTGGTTTGTTATATATATTTGTAAAAATGCAAAAGAAAAAGAAAATCAAACAGAAATAAATAAATCAAATCAAATCAAATCAAATCAACCTTGTTTTAGAGAATGGCTAACAAACATACCTTCTTAAATGCGGCTTGTCTTAATTTTGTGATCTCATCTCTCTCATAGAACTCTGCATGATTCATGTACTCTGGGAGAGGTTTGGCAAACCCTTCGTCATTAGGACCGTTCTGTTTGGGCCTGGACTTGGAACTGGGATGAGGACTATTCGGCGGTTTCCTCTTCATGAGGGACTTCCTTTGCTGGTCCAGTTCCTCCCTTTCTTTGGCAATTTTCTCCTGGCGCCTGGTATGGGAATACAGATGCAAAGTCAGATCATTAAACTTAATAAGTTTGGGTGATCCATAAGTTACTATGAAGTCACTTTTGTGCAATTTATGAATGAACGATCTTGCCAGGTAAACAATTTTGTTGATTCGCCCGAGCCTGGAATCTAAATTGCAAAGTATTTGCTATATAATGTTACTGAATTTATTGCGAAGTTACGGAAGTTACAATAGCCCATTTTTATGTAGAGAGTTGACATCTGTATCAACATTAAGTTGAGTTGCCGTCAGTTTGGATTATTCACAAATCAGTTTGACATGGGACCCTATTAAATTTCTTGTAAAACACTGGAGGAAAATATGGAACTGGTTCAAGATGCCTCATATACACTCTGACAATTTTGTGGTTCGGCTTTAAAACATACCACCAAACATGAGAATGCAACCATCGCTTACATTATCAATTATGCTTGTTTGACTGTTATGATTTGTATGTTTCTTTTCTGTTGTAATAGCGCTCTGATCAGTTTGTCTGTAGTAGCGCTCAATAAGAATCAATTATTAAGAAAAACAACAAGAACTACTGCATAACCGAGAGCTACGACTGCTTACTTGACAAGATCAGTGAATGCATAGCCATCGTTCCAGGTTTCAACAAATTTGGCCCCTTGTCTTTGAGTAGTGAACTGTCCTAGTCTTAGACGATCCTCCATGCTCTTGGTTCGTGCTTGTTTGTTTTCAGTTGCGGCCTGGTGATGGTGGAGTGGATCAAGGAAAAAGTTTGATTACTACAAGTTTAAACACCTCCTCTTGTCTGCTTCTATGATCATTGGTCCGATACACCGGACTTTAAGGAGTTACCAATTAATGTGTTGAGAAGTTCACAAGCAGTAAAACTAAGTGTCCCAACTGCAAGAGACTCAGAATTGTTAGGACTCAGAGTTTATGACAATTCTTTTCCCCAATGAGGTGGATTTTGGGAAATGGGTGGAGGGTGCATGCATTACGCAAGTACCGTCAGTCGTACAATGAAGTCCACTGTCGTCGACTGATAAAGCGTGTATTGGTTCTTCTGCTGGGTTCATGACCCTCTATTCTGATTTATAGAGCACCAAAATCTTCAATAGAGAAGATTCATGAGAAAAATACTTTCAACAACATCCATGGACAGTTTTCGGTTATCTTTCAAAATATTCTAAATTATTTCATAAATAATCTGCTTACCTTTTCTATAAGCAGTTGTTTAACCTTTTCTGTACTTCTCTTTGACTGTTCCTTGAACTTATCTAGGAGTTTCTGAGCACTGTCTAACCTCCGTTGTAAATCCTGAGTTGTCTGGAGAAATGATTACAAACAAACAAAATGGAAAGTTTGATAATTAAATCTGCAATAGGAGGGAGATGGTTGTTAGTTTCCATTTTAGTCTGCATGTTAAACTATCGCATTTGTTGTTACCTATGTTCAAGTCAAACGCTCTATTCTGTATCCATCTGTATCTTATTGATGTTCATAATCTGTAATCTTGTACTGACATGCAAATGAAACAAATTTCCAATCATTGGACAATAAATTTGAATATGAATGAACGAATATGAATGTGCAGAAGGTCTTAAAGATAATCTTGAGTTCTGGTAAAAAAAAAAAAAAAAAAAAAAATTCTCACAGAATCAAACAAAACTTACACTGAATGTTCAAGATTACAAATAAATGTCATTTGCCAAACAATTTTGGTAGAAAATGTATACTGGCTGAGAAATGAGCATAGAAAGATAAGGAAATCAAGGTAAGTAACCCTGACGCCATTTGTGTAGTCCCATATACATCTTTCTGTGTATAGTGCTTGTAACTTTACCAAAACTGGGCCAAATTTCTTATCATTTCGATCATTCGAGAACCTTGCACTATACAACAATACTTATATGCTAGATGACCAACCTTTTCTGGTCGATTCCACAACGTTTCTTTTACAATGCAATTGCATGACCATAACTGGTCTTTATCTTTAAACATAAGAATGGAAGATTTAACATGTGATGTGCCGTTTACTTACACTATTAAGTGTTTCTATCGTCTCCTCCTTCACCCTCATGTGGGATTGATGCTGTCTTTCTTTCAGTTCCAAATCTTGTAAACTCATGTCAGTCTGAAAGAAAAATGATTCATGCAACGTGTGACACAAATTAAAAACTAGATGGAATTCGACTGCGTGCAGTCGAAAATGATGCCTCCGTCATAGAGCAATTTTACAAACCAAAACAGAACACATTTTTCGAATTCAAGTTCAATTGTAATCCATTAACAGGTTTTCAGAATATCGTGATTACAAGCAATTTCTCATATACAGTATTGCTCGAAATAAAGTAGACACCGTACCGCCGTGTACCGCGCGGGAGCAAATTACCACGGTAATTTATTGAGTACCGCCACCCAACTGGTTGCCGCGGTACTCCCACCTACCATAATGTCCCGCGGTAATGTACCACATTTGGGAGTCCGCAGTCTCGTAGAACACGAGATTCTTGTATGTTTAGTCTATCCTCAAAACATAAATAAAAATTGTGTGTGTTAATGTGAGTGAGAGATGTATGGGGATTTCAATTTTTGATCTGTAATGAATGGAAATTGCCGATTGACTGACTTGATTCCATAAGTTCGCACGTACTGCACATGATGGTTGTTAGCCAACTAGGCATCGTTTGTAATTAGCTGAAAAAAAATGTTCATTGATAATGAGAATAAACGAGTTTGGGTAGGATTTCACCATACCATCATTATTTCAGAACAATTGTTGAATATTTGAATAACGAGGAGCCTTCATTTCAAGAGGTAAAAGCAGCCACAAATACATTGAACATTACAATGGTCTGATAATGGTCTGATAAACTTAAACTACCCCAGCGTGTAACCTAGTAACCAAACAATGAAACAAAGGGATGAATGTAGGTCAATTCATTCATCGATACGCGAGGCACGAAAGTTTGATAACTACATAGGACATGAGTTACAAAGTATTCCCACATCGCTTTGCTCATTCTGGTTTGAAAATACAAACGACTTAACTTAGCATAATCACGCAGCTGCAATTTGTTTAGCTACAGATTGATCAATGATTGCATACTTACCTGATTCTATGACGTGTCCCACTTTTAGAATATCCATGTTTAACTATAAATCCGAAAATCAGATGAAAGTTATCCCAGGGACATCCATGGTTATCCGAAAGATTAATTCCCTTACACACGTTGTTGGAACCACCAATGGTATAAAAGCTAAGTCTAGTTTCGGACACATTAATTCCATTTCTAAAACCACTACAACAACGATTCGTACAATCTCGTTCTATCTCTAAATGGTGATTTTCAGATGAAAAGTTAACTCTTCTCATTGGCTAAATAATAATTTGCAACTTTATTTTTTAAAAGCAAATAATTATTTGCTCGTTTTCAGTTGTCATTTATGGTATGGCGTCTGAATTGGCAGACTATGCAAGCCCTTTCAGTTTCAGCTGGCTGGGGCGTGTCATATTTCTTAGATAAGAACTGTCAAAACATGTCTGGGAAATGTAATCACGTGCAGGAGGGAGAGAGAGATAGAGAGAGAGAGGGGGGGGGGGGGGGAGGGCAGAGAGGAAAGTAGAAAGACGGGGTTAGGTAGAGGTGTGGAGGACAGTGACCTCATGTCATTTACTTGTTAATCAATCAATGTTTGACGGGACTTGTAAACATCCATGAAGGGTGATGTCTTCAGATGACGAATCAAAGAATAAAGGATAAAAGGAAGGGAAATACATGTAGATATTAAAGATTAAATGATATCAGAGATAGGAAATATATGGAAAGAAGAGGCGACTGTAAAGGAATAAAGTATACAAGGAAATAGATGGGAAGAATCAGAAACTGGATAAGAATAAAGGATTCGTGGGAGAGGAAATCTACATGGGAGGAAGAGGAGACTTGATATAAATAAAAGGGTTATAGGACGTACACCCCCGGCCAAGGCAATTATCCCCTCCCCCTCGGAAAATTACCCCCTTTGATTTTCACCCCCCCCCCCCCCGAAAAAAATGCAAATTATCATCAGGGTGGACTTCCCCTTCAATGGACCGGGGGGGGGGGGCGTATATTTGTCCTTGGGGCATATTTGTCCTAGGGGAGCTAATTTTCCTCCGTGGATATTCGTTCCCGGGGGGGGGGGGATATTTGTCCTCGGATGTTAAAGCCCGCGGGGATTATCGTTCCTGGGGGGGGGGGGGTGGTGGTTGTCCGAAGGTTCGTAATTCCGAAAAATGCAATAGGGTTCATAATCCGAAAATGAAATAGGGTCCATAATTCCGAAACTGGAAAAAGGTACCTAAAAAGAAACGAACATTAAAATGAATTCAGGAGGCCGAGACGGCCCCCCCCCCCCCCCATAAGACTTAAGAGATCCTAAATAACTGTAGAGAGAGACATAGACGGGGAGAAATAGTAGAAGACAACAAAAGATAATAGAAAAGTATAAAGGACAAATAAAAAAAGGAAAGGAAGGAATGAAGAGAGGAATATTAGAAAAGGAGGGATAAGAGCGCAATCGGTGATATAGAGTGAAAGATAGAAGGGGGTATCATTATTGATTGATTAATAAGGTGATAATTGGAGGTCCGAGGCCATCTCACCGATTTCGTAATATTTTCTGATTCATTTATTGTTTGTTCGTTTGTTGCTATTTATTTGGTATTTGTTATTGGCTCCCCTCCACCCTCTATCTTGTATTCATGGGATTAACCGTCTCCCGTTATTATGGGAACAAAATGTACATCATATTAACCCCCCCCCCCTTCCCGCTGGATCCGCCAATGCTAGTGTTTACAAATAAACTTGATTAATTTTAAAACAAACAAAACGGAACAGGTCAATATATTTCACGAGTTGTATAAACAAAAATAGTTACAATAGAGGATCTCCTTCCCCCTTTCTTTCTTCTGCCTCTCTTCTTTATTTCCCTTATTCTCATTCTCTCTTTCTCTTTTATTTTGGCGGGGAGGGGAGGGGGCCAAGCACGCTCCTTCCCCTGGATCCGCGCCTGTATTTCAGGCTTTTCTTGAGCGTTTTTAAATAAACCACGTCCGCCTTCTAATGTCAGCTAGTGCTTTGAATCTTGCCTAAACATTGTAAATGGATAATTTTGTTAATATTTTCTCTTCATGTGTAGCCTGATAACCCAGGCAATACCTCATTTGCACTCAGCCATTAGAAAGAGAAGACGATAGAAATAAAGCAACATAACATATGGAAAGAATTATCTTGCGGCCGCCAAATAATCTAGCTATATTTCCTCACGTTATGATGCAGTTAGAAAGAGACATAAAACAAAGAATAACATGAGAGATAGAAAGAGAAGATAGAAAGATAGAAACAAAGAATAATAACAGGAAAGAACAGAAGATAGAAAGGAAAACAAAGAATTTCAAAATGAAAATAGAAAGAGGAAATGATAGAAGTATAAAAGCAAAGAGTAACATACAGAAAATAGAAAGAGAAGAAGGTGGTAGGATAAAAACAAAGAATACCATAAGGAAAGGTAGAAAGTGAAGAAGATAAAAGGAAAATAACATAATCATGATAAGGAAAGATAGAATTATCTGGCGGCCGCCAGACAATTATGACGTGGTTCGTAAGTATATGTGAATTGTATTGGAATGGGAACAATACAGTTCAGTTCATCTGAAGAGAGAGAGAGAGAGAGAGAACCCCTTACACATCAAAATGTGAGCTGAGCCTGAAAGAAACCGGACTTCAAGAAATCTTTTATGAACAAATTCTAAAGGTCCCCTTATTTCAAAGAGAAGTACATGGAAAGCAACGCCTTTGTCAATGCCGTTGAAAAGGCTGTAGAGAGGGCTATTGATAAGCACATAATGAAGTTCAATCAACGCTTGGACCAGCTAGAGATTAGCAGCACTCACACAATGGAGGAGATAGAGCGCGTCGATGGAAAGGCGCTAGAGCTTGAATCTTCACTGAATACGAAGGGAGCTGAGATCGACCGTTTGAAAGACGTCATTGAGAAGCAGTCAACCTCAATTCACAACCTTACACTGGCGATGAATGAGGCTGATCAATACTCTCGCCGCAATTGTCTGAAGTTTTACGGCGTGAAAGAGAGCAACACGGAAATCACAGATGACGTCATCTGCCAACTAGCGAGTGAACGACTGGGCGTCAACCTAACAGCAGTCGACATAGATCGTTCACATCGCGTCGCTCCGAGGGGCGGAATCGCAAACGATGCCGGGTCTGCAGACGCCAACCCCAAGAACAAAAGACCTCGCGCCATCATTGCAAAGTTTTGTTCATATCGTGTACGGAGCGCTGTCCTGCGTGCACGTAGGAAGCTGAAGGGCACAGGCATGGCCATCGATGAAGCGCTCACGTCCACAAACCAGGACCTCCTGTGGGCAGCAAAAAAGCACCACAGAGTAAACGAGGCGTGGTCCTTCGACGGACGGATAATCGTCCTACTCCCAGCCACGAACGGAAAGACAGTAAAACGAACTATCCACAGCAAACGTGATTTGGACAAGTTATAGCAGTACTGAGTGATCACATGTATCATGCTGATACATTCCACTCCTGAACATTTCTACTTTGACGTTGAACTTTGATTTTGTTGTATTTGTTGTTCTGTTGTTTGGTTTTTTCTTTCTTATTTATTTTAGTTTTAGTTAGTTTTGCATGCCCGTTAAATACTGTGATACATCTGACTTTAATGTATACAGTTGTATTGCCAACGAATTAAACTCAAATATAGATGATTTAAATTTTGTAAATTGTCTCCCCTTTCAAGAAGTTAATAATGAAGATTTTGAACGATTATTCTCACCTGTAAATCAATATGATGTCTCTCTAAATGGCTTTAATTTTGAAGATGAAAGTTTGAATGAAAATGAAGAAGACACACATTCAAATCCTCCTGTAAAGTATTATTTATCATCTGAATTTAATGAAATTATAGATAATTCAGTTAATCAAAACTTTAGCATAATTCATTTTAATGCCCGAAGTATGTTTCGTAATTTTGAAGAAATACATGCCTATCTTTCTAATCTTCAATATCAATTCTCAGTCATAGGAATATCAGAGACATGGATTAATTCCAATTCAC